CCTCAAAGTGCTATATAAAGGCTAGTTATTATCCCCATTTTATAGATGAGGAAACTGAGAATGAGAAAGGATAATTTACTAGTCCAGCACCACACACCCAGTAAATGTTTTAGGCAGAATTTGGACTCAGGTCTTCCTGATTAGAGGTCCAGTTCTTTGTCTACTGAGCCGTCTAGCAAAAGGCAACAAAACAAAACAAAACAAAAAAACAGTGAAATCTTAGCCTGCATTAAAAAAAAAAAGTATAATGCCCTGCTACGTGGGGGTGGGGAGTCATAGTCCCACTTACTGTGCTTTTGTCAGATCCTATCCCTGGATGCCATATTTAAGGAAGGACATTTCAGTCAGAATAAGCCTAAAGAAGGAGGAGCCAAGATCATGATTGACCTTGAGATCCTCCCATACAAGGATTGGTTGAAGAAATTAGAGATGGTTAAACTGGAAGAGAGGAGACTTTTTGGAAGATATAACTGTCTTCAAGTATTTGAAGTTCTGGCACGTCAAAGATGAATTAGACTTATTCTACCTTGCTCTTATGGGAGAACTAGGAACAATGGGTGGAGTTGTAGACCCAACATTAAGAGAAAATTTCCTTACCAATTAGAGCTATGCAAATGGAATGCCTCCGAAAATGGTGGGTTTCCCATCACTGGATTTCTTCCAGTGTAGAATGACCACTTACTGAAGGGAAAGGGGATTCTCATTTAGATGTGAATTAGATTAAACAGACTGGGTGGCCTTTTAACTCCAGGATGCTACAATTCTGGGGTATTTCCCCTTCTGTGAGACATATTGAAAGCTGGGCTCTTGATACTTTTGAAATTATGTCACCTCCAGCATGGTTCCCTTTGTCTACTGGGTCTGGTCCAGGAGTTCTTACTGATTGTATCTCCTTAAGTGTTATTTTTGCTTCCTCATATAATATTGTGTTGCATGTCCAGATGCATTTGTTTTGCTAATCTCAGGGTAGAGCCAACTGGTTCCTTTTTCTATAGTTTTTGTTCTTTTTCCTTCCAGCTTAACTGGATTTTCACCCATAGCTTTCTGCAGACTTACTTCTTTCTCCACTGTTTATTTTTTTATTTTTGTGAAGTGATACTATTCATGACCTTTCATCATTCTCTTCCATAACATTTTGCAAATGAGTATTTTCTAAACTGGAGTCCATGAGTGTGTTGTTTTTTAAATTTTTCGGATAGAGCACTGGCCCTGAAGTCAGGAGGACCTGAGTTCAAATCCAGCCTCAGACCAAACACTTGACACTTACTAGCTGTGTGACCCTGGGCAAGTCACTTAACCCCAATTGCCTTAAAAAAAAAAATAAAATTTTCAATATCTCTGAATCCTAGTGCCTTCCCTCTGCAGAATATCTCCAGTTTTTTCTATATTCTATTATTCTACATATGTGTGTATGTATGTATGTGTCTATATATATATATATATACAAACATATACATATATATTTATATAATATACACAGAGGGAGAGTTTGTGCATTTGCTTACATGTTGTCTCACCCAATAGACTGTGAGCTCCTTGAAAGCAAGGCTATTTTTGGTTTTTTCCATGTATCTACAGTACTTAGCACAGTGCAAGACTATAGGAGGTACTTAATAAATGCTGTTGACTTGACTATCAACTTTTAACATAATTTGTTTCCTCTGTAAACCTACGTATTTTATTTTATGTGTTTAAAACCATTATTCTGAGAAGGGGTCCCTAAGCTTCATCAGATTGCCAAAGGGATCCATAGCACAAAAAATGTTAAGAACCCTTTGTCTAAGCTATTGCTGCCCTTAGCTGTCACATCTCTTTGCTTGATAAATGAGGTCAAGTGTTTGATGACATGGCAGTTTCCAGGTTCTTTTGGACTCTTTATCATCACTGCTTACACTAAAAGAACTTTCATAGAATGGTGATAATCAGAATCAATATATTTCCTTCATCCATTTCCTATTTTTCAGCACTAACAGTTTTGTCGAGATTGACTGGAGCTGTTGTCACAGGACAAAGTTTTTTTCTTCTTATCTTTTTACTTACTTTTAATTTGGTATTGATTTTGACCTTTGTTATAACTAGTCAATGGTCTGAGAGTACACAGCTGATCCAAATATAACTCCCACATCAGTAATCAGCCACCTTCTATCTTTAAATTATTGTCAAAATCAAGTTTTTGTGATATTTTTTGTTGTTCACCCTATCCAGTGCCTTACAAATTATTTTTTTAAATAGATTTATTATTTACTTATTTTTAACATTAAAAACTTTTTTGAATCCCAAATTCTCTCTTTCCTTCCCACTCCTCCCCTACCTATTGAAAAAACAAGTGGAGGCAGCTAGGTAGCACAGTGGATAGAGCACAGACCCTGGAGTCAGGAGGACCTGAGTTCAAATCCGGCCTCAGATACTTGACATGTAACTAGCTGTGTGACCCTGGGCAAGTCACTTAACCCCACTGCCTAGCAAAAAAAAAAAAAAAGGAAAAAAAAAGATAAGCAATGTGATATCAATTATACATGTGAAATCATGTAAAACATATTTCCATATTAGCCAAGTTGCAAGAAAAATAAAGTGAAAAAATTATACTTCAATCTGCATTCAGACTTTATCAGTTCTCTCTCCGGAGGTAAATAGCATTTTTCATTATGAGTCCTTCAGAATTGCCTTTTTCCAAATTATTTCTTTTTTTTTTTTTGGCTAGGCAATGGAGTTAGGTGACTTGCCCAGGGTCACACAGCTAGTAAGTGT